AATGTACAGAAAACCAAAAAGATTTTGTAGATAATGTACAGAAAACCATAAATCATATTTACGCATAGAAACTCGCACAGTGTTAATAAATAACATATTTAAAAAAAAATCAGATGTTAGAGTGGCTTTTTAATCTATCGACAATAAGTCGAAAAATCAACAAAACCTACCCCGGTTTAATTTCTACCCAGGCATAAAAGTTTGAATTGACACCCGCTAAAAGACATTAATTTTCTTTTCTTTTGTGACTTCGTTGGTGATGCATCAAATGCATTTACTCACGCTTGGATCTATTGAAATTTTTTTTTTAAATTATTACAATGTCTGCTATTTTCTTTTTATATTGTTATCGTGAGCGACAAAACATTTAATGTTATTGAAAAGAAAAGAGGACAACTTAGACCACATAGAAATCTGACCCTTCTATCATATGTTGCAATGTTTTCATTTCCGATGAACAAAACGTATAGTAGTTTCGTGTAGGTGTTTTGTTCCAAATCTTGCAATCTTTTTATAAACTATCAAAACAATTTTTTCAATAAATAAAGTTTGAATAGACAAAATATAAAAGTTGTAAGTGATTTGTTTGTTTGTTAATTTGATTTGTTGTTTGTGTTTGTGTTTTTAGTTTTGGTATTTACAAGTATGACCGTCTATATGAATATACACTGTTGATTTTCCATTCCATCACGTGGTGGAATAAAATGTGACTATTTCATTTTTCGTGTGATGTGAAGTTGTTCTAGCACATGTATTTGTTAACTCTAGTTTACAAAACATGTTTCAAACGATAAAATTCCCAATCGCTGACTTGATGAAAACGCTAAATACATTAATAGAAGCTTATTGTTTAAAAAAACAAACACCTAGTGATGTCTAAATACTTGTTGGTTTATGGATTTTTGTTCGTCAGTTTTCATAGGATATTTAGGGAGCTACCATTTGATTTTTATGGGGCTAGGATGAAAAATTTTATCCTGCATTTTTTTTAGTTGTAATCTCTGTCCTGCCTTTTTATTTTTCACTCTATTCGGTCCTGCCTTTTTTTTCATTAGTTTATCCGGGCTTTTTTACATTAATTGTCATCCTGCCTTTTTTTTACTCAAAACTCCTGTCCTGCCTTTTTTCAAAATTCATCCTAGCCCCCCATAAAAATTAAATGGTAGCTCCCTTATACTTCAATTCCCATGTATAAATCATTCATAATGATGAACCTACCTTAAATATATGCTCCTCTATTTTCCGTCAAATCTGCAAACCCGAATGTCACAAGCCAGAAATTATCCAAAGAAACTTTGTTAAAGGTACATACATATAAGCCAAAGTCAACAGCTTCGTTTAGTTGTTTAGTCACGGAACTCTTTGCTCAGTTCAACGCACGTGAAAGAATATTAGATCGCATGTACGGCAAAATTTCGTTAAAACAGCACTGATAAATTGTTAAAACAGAGAAATATAGTTGACATATTGCTTATAGTATCTGATAAACTGACAAAACCATGAAAACTTAATATTGGCCAATAAACCATGAATATGAGGCCAAGGTCAGATGAACCCCGTCAGACAGACATGTACACCGTACAATCATTCCATACACCAAATATTGTGGCCCTATTGATTTAAGTATCTGTGCAATAGACAAAACCACAAAAACTAAACATTGTCCAATGAACCATGAAAACAAGTTCGAGGTCAGATGAAACTTGGCGGTCGGTCATGTACACCTTACACTCATTCCATACACCGAATATAGTTGACCTAGTGCTTATAGTATCTAAGATTTGACCAAGAGGTCATGTGGACCCTGTATTACAGACGTAGACCTTACAAAAGAGAGGAGAAGGATACTAAAGGGACATTCAAACTCATAAGTCGAAAATAAACTGACAACGTCATGGCTAAAAAAGAAAAAGACAAACAAAAGTACACAAAACAACATAGAAAACCAAAGATTGAGCAACACGAACCCCACTAAAAAAACTGGGGGTATTCTCATATGCTCCGGAAGGGTAAGCAGATCCTGCTCCACATGTGGCACCCGTCGTATTGCTCATGTAAGTACAAACCTGGTGATATGTCCAATTCGGTAGGTCACATTCGGGGGAAAGGGGACGAGATTGTTGTTACGATAATTGGAACATATCCGTAATCATCTGTGAAACAGATATTCCATAACAGTCAACCAACTCGTGATAGCGTCCGTAAAATTTACGAAGGGATGATTTCAACTTCCCCACATGGAACTCTTTGTTTAATAGCTTTCTTGTGAGCAGCAACCATATACCAAGGAAATCATGATAGGAAACACAAAGCCCTGTAATATCATATCAACTGGGAGATGTATACTCCGTATGCATGCGCTGCTGGAATGTTGCTACATAGAAATGGACAGTTCACAATTTGGAAGCTGAAATCATCTCTTTTGTCGTAAAGTTTTGTTTTCAACCGACCCAAAATGCCAATTTCTAGATGTAAGTCAATATATGAGACAGACTTGACTGTATCTGTATTATTCTTTATCTCAAGCTCGATGGGATAGATGCGTTCAACATAATCACCAAATGTTGAATTGTTTTGTGATAGAACATCATCTATATAGCGGATAGTAAAGTTAAAGGAAACTACTAACTTTTTCTTTAATTTCTTCCTAAGAAGTTCCTGTATGAAGACAGTCTCATATGAATAAAGGAACAAGTTGGCAAGAAGAGGAGCACAGTTGGTTCCCATGGGAATGCCGATTGTTTGTTGAAAACACGTCCTCCAAACGTAACATTTATGTTGTCAATCAAGAAATCTAGCATCTTGATAATGTCGGTTTCAGAGAATTTTTTGTTTGAATCAGAGTGATTTTTTACAAAGTACGATTTATCCCTCCCTAAGACAAGACACTTGTATCTACGTAAGCCATTCTTTTTTATGAAACAAATCATCACCAACTCTTTCAATTTGTCTTTTAGTTTGGAATGGGGAATACTTGTGGAAAGCGTAGAAAAATCAAATGTTTTAATACTATTGCAAGATGAAAGAGTCTTAGATTGTATGTCCTCTAAGAGATCGTTGGAATTTTTTAGTATCCACATCTGATTCACCCCACCTCTAGAATAGGTAGTTTCACAATAAGTTTGAAGCCCGGCTTTGATTGCTGATAAAATTGATGTAAATAATTAAGAAAGAGGTTTCGTGGAGCACTTGGAAGACCCAGAAATATAACGTTGTTTGTAAGGACAAAGGACACTTATGTAGTTTATGTATCCAATACAGTGAAGGAAGATCCAGTTCTTTATCTTTGGTTGAAGTTCCAAAGGAACATAGAACAGACCTATGATTATCCAGGATTTCCACCTTGGTAAGTGTCATGGGGGTATATGTTGAGTTTTCAAGTTAATTGTCAATACTTAATTCATTTATCAAGCAGTTTATGTAATGTGATTTACACACAAAAACGATGTTGTTTGGGGCTTTATCTGCGGGGACAACAACATATTTGTCATGGAGGTAGGACAGGTGTTTTGAAACATTTGGGTCTTTAAAGATTGATGTAGCATTTGTGTTCATAGACCCATTCAGTTTTTTTAATTCTGATTTTGTATCAATGACCTCACAGCCTTAATCCATTCGGAAAGAGAATCTGCGTCTTCTTTATCGCGTTTAACCTATCGCCTGGCATAGTCCTATAGGATTCAATATATCAAATATATTTATCCTATTACTCATAAGTGAGTATTTCACATGACAAAAAACTATAGATCACTATACATTTTTTTAAGCAGTCACTGAACCATGAAAATAAATTCAATGACAATGGACATGTGGCAGACGGAAACTTCGATACATAAGGTATCTTCGTACAAGGCATGAAGCATACAGTTCTTCTACCTCCTGAAATATAAAGCTTTGAACAAATACTTCACGCCGTCAACACCGGATTGTAATCCCTATGTCTCGCATTCTGAGACTTAAGTTTTTGTTTTTCTCTTATTGTTTCATCTTATATCAGGAAGTTGGTTTTCTCGTTTGAATTGCTTTACATTTTTTCATGCCAGGGACTTTGATAGCCGACAATACGGTATGAGTTTTACTCATTGTTGAAGACCTACGGTAACCTACAGTTGTTTATACATATATATCATTTAGTCTCTTGTGGATAGATGTCTCAATGCCGGTCATACCATATCTCCGTATTTTTGTTATGACAGAAACATAATGCGATGTTCTCTTTTTCACTTAAATAATTAGAACAGGTCCTTGTTAAGCTTTTTTCTTAATTCAGATATAAACTCAACCTCAACTCTCGTTAAATAGTGTTTTTTTTTTTTTTTTTTTTTTTTTGGAGGGGGGGGGGGGGAGAAGGGTTGTTTGTTTTTGATTTATTTTAATTTTTTTTTTTGGGGGGGGGAGGGTTTCTTATCAACATGCATTTAAAAGAGTCGAATCACCTTGTTTTTACAGATAGAAGATCGTGACAGGTATTTGTAGGTATAAATGAAATATTGAAAGCTTATGATGATCTTCTTCACTTCAGTTGTAAATAATTTTAGATTTCATTTAAGTAATTCTGCATATTGTATATTAAACGAATGTGTGGCCCGCCAGTGCAATATTTTTTTCGGAAAATCATACTGTTCAGCCAACCTATATCATCAAACTAGTATGGACCAATATTTCATTGTCCTATGCAATTGGTCAATTATGTTTAAAAGGTCGTCGACGTCTCTCACGATTTCTTCATATGAAATATATATAGACAATCCTTAACTGGTTTTGCAAGGACGGCGATGATATATTAAATCTTATATAGTCATGGATGGATACGCCATATCCTTTGTTTTTTCTATTGTTCGTATGTGTGTGAACAGTCAAAACTCCGGAAAAGAGAGTTGTTTATTGTTGTAGAAGAATATTCGGATTCCTCTTATAGCCAAAGCAAATGGAAATCACTGTTGTCGAATTCATGTAATGCTTGTTTTGTCTATACGAACAAGAGAAAACAAGATTGCTAGTATATTTTCAAATTTTAATTTTGATTCTTTTTAAATTTCATACCCTGTTATAAATATATTTTGGTCATATAATTCTTCTGACCAAACTCAAAATATTGCTTATAAGGAATGTCATGAACAAATGAAAGTCACATGAATGATATATATATAAAATGTACAATGAATTGAGACAAAATAACCGTACATCATGTTTCAAAAAGTAGAAAAATAACTATACACATTCTCTGTACAAAAACATTAACAAACATAGACAAAACAAATATCAACTTTGGTATAAACGATTCTTCAATAGAAAAAAAAGAGTATTGTAAAAGAGATTAAGACAAACAAAGAGGGTCTAAACGGGTATTTTATGTATACCAATGTTGTTTTCTGATGTTTCTATGAACACTAACTGCAATATGAAATCCTAAAATCAGTAGTTTATCACTGAAAGTGTTCTTCATAACAAATTCTGAAAGTTTTGTAGCCTGGTATCCCGGCCCAATCTCTGGGTTTCGTCGGTAGTGTCAAACAGTGAGCCAGGATCCGATACTAGAAGTTTTGCCAATACCATGTACCCGTTTAAATCCTCATCAAGGAGTATATAATGCCACAAAAATGGAACAAGAAAGACTAGAGATCTCTGCTCTCAGCAGTATGTCATATTCATATGTCGTATGACGGCATAGATTATCATATTCATATGTCGTATGATGGCATAGATTATCATATTCATATGTCGTATGATGGCATAGATTATCATATTATGCAATTGTATTATGCTTGTTTAGCACCAACCCACCAACCACAGTCCCAAATAAACATGTAAATTCAACAATTCAGCACTGTATGAAATGGAATAATGTCACGTGATATGAACTAGACATCCAGTTCCGACAGAATTATTTCATAGTCTTTGTCATCGTTCATTTGATTGAGTTCTATTACAAAGGTAGATTCGTGAGAATAATGTCGTACAATGTTGTCATCTAATCGTACCAGTATTCTGAAAAATAAAACATGCATAATTAATGTGAATCAAGCTATAAATGTTTTCACTGAAAAGTTGGTATTTCAAGCAATTTACTATACTTTTATACTGTTTCATGGTGGACAGATTTATTACCGCAGAAACTACATTCCTTTAGGGAAATTATCTATCCACGACAATAGTGATTGGTAGTCCATATAAAAACAACTAATTGAGCAATTCTTAAATCTAAATGGTTTGTTCAAAATACTTTAGTATTTTTCATGTAAATAATTGTTGAGCTTGCTACAAATCCGTATGTTTTTTACTTTCTTTAATAATCTACCGGTAAGCGGTTTTATTATCACCTTTGTGTTGCCATTGTAACAAAATAAGAATGTTATACTAGTATAGTCTCTTTTATCGTGATAATTTTTTTAGCATGTGTAAACTTCACAGGGTTGTAGGAATGTAACCTAACATACCAATGTAATTTTACAAGTATAAAGGTTTTATACATAAAATGAATTTCCATATTCTATACTTAATATGCTGCATTTTTTTTAATATAAATAAGTTGAATAAGACATACCCCTTCTTTGATCTTTTGTAAGTACTTTTGACTGTGACAGCAGGTATTTTATACTTCTCTTCAACCTTTAAATGAAATAAATATCCTTAATTCTTTAATTCACGTAATTCTTTACACACCATCTATATTCTTCTTTTAATAGGCATCATATTGCTAACGATATAATCATCACTGACATAATAATACTTAGATGTAATTAGGAAGGCCTATTCAAAAGGTTAACGATTTAAAGATGAAAACACAAAGTAAACTAGGCAAATATGAATGCATTTGATATTTTATAATTAGTCATGATGATGATGATGATAATAAAAATAGTTTTAAAAGTAACTTACAGCTTGAAGAAGTCCTTGAAGAGTTGGTGTGCGTAGCATGAGTGCTGTATAGATCGTTTCATGTTGTTCTCGGACATACAATAACACTGAAAGAAAAACACAACAATATAATTGCATAACAGAAAATTAATAACCTATATAAGTGTTTTATTGTCATGTTTTTATTTATTTTTTTGTTATTTTCAATTTAGTGATATTTAAGTTCCAAAATTGTATATAAAGATCTTCAACAGCATCTTATAATTGGCAATAAGTAAGCTACAACAGAATTAATGGTTATCTCTGAAAAACTGTACCTTTTGGGAGATCGTGATAATATGCATCTGTTCTGCTTCTCTTTGCAGGCGGACAAAGTATATCTTCAAATCCTTCTGCACTTGTTAAGCTGTAAAGAATTAATAGTAAAATTATATCTAGAACTCATTTGTTTTCCAACCTCAAAAACTAAAATCACCGGTTTCCTAGTTTTGTGGTCTAATTATTCTGAACTCTTGAAAAATTTATCGATTTTAACAATTTGTTTACAAGAGCTTCATGTTTTATATTAAGGTTATTACTTTTCATTTTCTACAAACCGATAAAAAATTGTCTTTATTTTTGTAACAAATGAAGGTAGATCAAAGTTGTAAAGTTAACTGTGCCCTTACCTCGAGTTTCCATCATCATCTGTCACACCAATACTCAAAGGACTTGCCTGGAATAAATAAAAACATTGGTTCATTTATATGTAAGAAAAAGCACTGATACATTAAATTAGTTGCATGGCATTTTACAGACTTTATGTTCATATCTTCTAAGAATTTCAATATCAGTTTGACTAAGACCAATTCAGACTGTTAGTGTAACATTTAAATATTGAGACAAATATGGAATACTGAGTAAAAAAACTGGTAAATGTGAAAAATTTCGATTAAATGAAATCTCACTTTTCAAAAATACTTCGTTTCTGCATCATGGAAATGGCTATAATTCCTCTTTAGAACTTTAGAATCAAATAACAATGGCTTTGTTCTGACTTACCTTATTGTTGCTGTCATCTTGGTCACTGACTGGAGTAAACAAAACCGGAAATGTTTTTGTGTCGGCCATGCTGTAGAAAGCAGATCGTTCGCATGGTGGCCAGTGCATTTCCATCTCACTCCGTTTTCCTGGTAGAAAAGAAATTGTAAAAAATGTAATCAAAATTCTGAAAAAATTTTACGACTTTTCCCGTTAAATTTTCTTATAGGTCTTTTTTCAATTGAAGTCCTTTTTATACAAACTTGTATTTAATGAAATAAAATAAAAATATGTATTGAAATGAAAAATAAACTTAAATGTTTAACGACTTGAAATGATGAACTTAAAAAGACTGGATTATACTCACGTTTGACAGTTTCTTGTCCGTCTTTAGTCCTAACAGTTCGTCTCTTCTCTTCATCTCGAGTTTTTCTTTCAGCTCCCTTGTCACAGAACACTTTGATTTGACAATACCCTCTATGGATAGGGTATATATCTTTTTGATTTTCAAATGTATCGATCTGAATGTGTAATGGAAGTCCCTTTAAAGAAAAATGCAAACATTAAACACAATTGGTTTATAAATTATCTAGCTATATTAAACTAAATCTTCTTCAATTTTTTTAATATGCATTTGTCATTCTGCACTTTGAAATTGACGAAAAACTTATAACGGCAGCTAATGCGTGAAATACATAAATTGGATTGTACGTAAATTTAAGTGTCCCACTTCAGTTTTGGTTTGGTTAACAAGTAACATACATATTACAATTCAGATTAGGCATAGATGTATGTTCCAAAAACTAATTTTTAGTTGTGTTAGTATTGACAAAAGTCTCAATTATATTCATATATTCAATTTCCAACAACTAAGAGCATGAAATTGATTTTGATTGCATTAGTAATTTTTCTTGTAACATCATAAAAACATAATGGGAAGTTGATCAAGAATAAAACCAATACACACCTTGACACCTTTTTGATTGCTGAAATCTGTGCTGAGACAGTGTACCGCCACATTTACCTGTAATCATTAAAAGTTTTATTACTTAAAATGAAAGAAAATCGATGAAAAAGCCATTTATTTTCGTTCAACACTGATGAAATATTGGTGATTAAAGCTTAACATATCAAAGTGTTTGATGCATCGATGTTGAAGATATAAACTGTCGTATTTCGTATCCAGAAGCTATGTCGTGATAATCTGCATGTGTTAATTTGCATGTGTAAATTACTTTAAAAAAAGTCTTGACAGAAATCATTCAATTATTTCTGCAACTTACAAAGCAACATTTATTCATTTGAGAAAAATGGCAATGCTGTTTTAATATAAAATCATTCTCGTGTGAAATACTGTCGTAAACAGAATCAAGGCGTTATTTAAAATCTTTAAAACAACTAAACATTATAATGTTAATATTGATTGATATGTCTGTATACCTTAACATTTGAATCTCTTGGATTCCATTTGACAGCCACGGCGTTAAATGCAATCTCGTTTATATTACTGGCCTGTACACCTTGACTGTCCTTTGTATCTGAAAATATCAATACAATGTTTCATCAGTAACACAATCGAAACTATTTCCGACTACGATTTGCTCTTCAAATTCGTATTTGATTTGGCTAAACAGCTACTTCCATTCAAGAACCACCGACGCGTCTCATGTAGACGAAACGCGCGTCCGGTGTACCAAATTGTAAGGCTGGTATCTTTGATGAGCGTTTTGCCAAATAATTTTACTATCAAGTTTTACAAATTAAATAATATTTCAAGAATGGATTTCCATCTTATTCCATAGTGAGCAACACTTTAAAACTAAAAAGAAGTAATATACAACTTTAAACTATATATTTTGCTTACCAATATCAATGACTCTCTGTTTATAGCTATGCTGCCGGGAATGCCAGAACTCCCATGCCTTTCTCTCATCCTCTAGTGATTTGTCGTCCCTGAACACCACCATGATTACTGACTGTAAAGTTAAAAAAAAATATATTGGTTTCCAGATGAGAGTACTGTTTACAAAAACAACGAATAGATTTATGGATTCATCAATGAGTCAATACTGAAGATAAGATCTTCTACAAGTGTATCAAGTTCACCTTTTCCGAAGTTAAAGATATTGATTTTCATTTTTGTAAAAGAATAACCTATTTCTTCATTTCTTCCGTAAAACCCAATACTGTAACTCAATAAACAAATAACTGGTAATAAAATGTTCTGAAATGTACACGTTGCGATGTTTGATAAAAAAAATCACTGATACAAAATAAGATGTGAACTAACTATAACAAGGATATACATGTATGCTCTTACCTTAACCATTTGTGATGGTGGTAACCTGTCCCCTGCAAACTCCAAGCTTAATGCATAATACTGGCCTGTAAAATATGAAATAAGTTGTTAAATCTATCATTTCCCGTCTTTTCTGTTTTTCCCTATATTCCAGTTGCCTAGACCTAAGTTAGACTGTGTTCAAACTATTTATCTATGATTCTGACGATTATTCTATCTAAATGTAAAACATAATATTTTAAAAACGTTTAGAAGTTAAAAAATATACTAAGAATTTTACAAGCGAATAAATCATATCTAGAGTAAGTTTTTACCTTTGTTTACATAGGTGATTCTGTCTTCATCAAACCGCACGGACGTTGAGATCGGAGTATCCATAAAGTAATTGTAACCAGTCGGATTTATTTCTCTGAAAATAATAATTTGTAAATTATATACATAAAATATCGCTAGAATAATTTAACCTCAAAATGGTTTTTTCATGGAACTTGACTTAAAGGTAAATACTTTTTAAAGTTTTCCTGCAAATACATATATCGTATAAAAATCACAGTTTTTCCATCAAAATCTTTGAAAATATAGGAACATAACTTTGACTAAATTACTTACAATTTTGGGATCGTTGGGTGATATGCGGTCAGTTTGTCTGACGCCCATCGTTGTTTAGGATATAACACTGGTGCTGACTTCCGTCTTTTGCCAGTTTTCTGAGGTGCAACAGGAGTCTCTTGGAAATTATTGTCCTCCTTACTATAAACCTACAAAATTTAATTTGTCTTCATTAACATATGTGCAATTACTATTTCGATGAATTTTCACTTAATTTTTTTCACTATTTTATATTTAAGATGAACCCTGAAGTCCTTCAATAATCAAAAATTTGTACAAAATCCCTTGGGTTACGTTTACAAAAACATATCATTTTTATCTCAATTATATCATTGGCAATACCAATTACCAAATTATTACATTTAATGAAAATCGTTTAAGATAATAATCAGTTGTCTGATTTTTGTTCTCACGTCTAAACTTTAACAATTATATGTTTTCTGATAAAGATCTATGGTGTAAATCTATGTATTAACTTGGTTTAATGAAGAAGAATAAAAAATAATGGAGCTGAAATTTATATTTTGATTAAAAATATCGTCGTTGGATTTCCCTATTTTCAATTTTGATTTCTGTTTAGATATAATATACTTGTAATTATTACCTAGAACTGATGTTTCAAAAGTAAAATTAAATTTAAAAAAAAATATTGATCTCAATGTTAAAAGATGTGAAAGATGGTTCTCACCAATGAGTTCTGTTGTTCCGTCGGAGATAAGCAAGGTTCGTGATATCCACTATCAGGAGACTTCATTGTGTAGTTTTCTTTGATATTGGTAGCATACGGGTATGTCTGTGGATGTGTTGGTTGATGATGTTGTTGCTGCTGTTCTTGATAAAACTGCTGCTGCTGTATAAATCGTTCCATCATTATATCTCTGTCTACTACCTGATTCTCTAATGATGACGTCACTGGCGGATACATATAGTTGCTGTTCGGAGAGTAGAAATTGTTTGTCGTTACTGGATACGAGTTCTGTCTCATTGGCGTTGTGGTAATTGGTTCTTGAATACTAATGCCAGTAGATTGTTGTAGACTTGCTAAATGTTGCAAATTATTCACCAGCATATCTGGAAAACAATTTGAATGAGCGACTGACATGTGAAGGGACACAGGGTCCACTTCTAGTACTGTATGTGAACCTAAACGATGAGACATGCTTTCACTATCTTGTGTTGTCAACGAAGTTGTGACTGGAGATACCGTATTTGGCGCCGTTAAAGTAGCCGTTGAGACACTTTGGAAATCCTCGGGTTTTTCTATAGGGTCAGACACACTATCGTCACGTGACATTGCACTTGCTGATATACCGTTATTCTCATTAGTCAACGGTACTGTACTGCCCACGGGCATTGTCACGCCTTGTTGACTTACTTTATTTTTCATTATTTTTTCTGAAAGTGCTTTAACAATTGTTCTAGTTGGTCTTGTTTCATAAATATTTCTTTGTATATCATTCTGATGTTTGTTTCCATTGTTTTTATTTTTAATTGATTCGTTATAATTTGGGAGAATTTTGTCACAGTTTGTAATGATACATGAATCTGATGGTGGGGATTGCACTATTGATGTGGTATAAATGACTGCATCTGAATCGTGATTTGAAGCACTAGTTGTAATACATGATGATAAATCCTCTGCAGATGAGAACACAATGTCATTTTCATTCCTCGCTTCTCTGTTATTCGTTACATTGTCTAAAATTCCCTGAGTATCCACAAGCTCCTGAAAGTTTTAAAGCACATATAATTGGAGATGCAAAGCATTATGACAATACATATTGTGAAATTTTCTGGAAAAAAAAACAATACAAACATTTTCTAACAGAATTTTGATTGCGTTTGTAATTCTACTCATTTATCTGCAGTTCCGTATACTCCAGATCGAATAACCGAGCCTTGTTGTCATTCAAATGTTTATAAGTTAATTGTTGTGTTTTTCGTAATACGTGTTCTGTTATTTTAACTTTTGTTTTTATACATAAAGTAATGATAAGCCTCTTTAACAATTAAACAATTATAGAAATAATAGAAAAGTCGTTCAAAAATATTAATTTATGAGCAAATTCCTCTTCATTTTTTAAAGAAACATGTAGAGATATCACTGATTGATGAACTTGCTCCTAAACATTATTTCTTTAAATATCCATTCAAAAAGAAGTATGTCATAATATATATAAACTGCATGTTATTTATTATAGCATATTGCTGAGTGATGCACAATTTAAAAAATTTCCTATGCATCTAAATAGTCATCATAGGGTGGATTAGGTTGAACTGTTAAGAAGCGTTATGATTGAAAACGTTTTAACTTATATCAGTTATCTATGTGGTACAATCAAGAAACTAGTACGAATGTTACAAAAAAATGTCAAATTTTACGACTGACTAGGTTACAAACATTCAAGCTATATTGCTTATTATGATGCATATTTCTTGGGTGAAATAATATCTTTCTAAAGAAAGAAGCCTACTTCTTATGAATCATTGTATCTATCCAAAAGTATAAAATAAGATGTGGTAACATTGCCAATGAGACAACTATCCATTAAAGTCCAAGAGACGTGTATATAAGCAACTGTTATTATTATATTTTTAGCTCTTTTTCAGTATATGTGTGATTTTCTAATCCAAATGGTCATAGATTTGTTTGGTTTTTTTTACTTAGCTGTTCATAACATTTACAAATTCTGATTAAAAGACAAAACTCATGCTTCAGTTGAAACTGCCTTTTATTATGAGAAATTATTTTTTTAAACAAATTACAACAAAACATATTAGTCCTTATATTCAAAAGGTATATAAATGTGTCTTGTAAGCTGAAGATAGTTGGTTTATCCTGCATGTTTAGAAGGAAAGTTTTAGTTCACATTAGATTATGAATGTTTACACAATAAGAGTATTTCAAATAAACTTTGTAATATTGTGCCTTGCTCAATTACTTAGAAATGGTTTCTTTTCATAAACCTCTAATTTACTGAAGAACTTAAGTTTTCTGCACGGAAGATTTAAATGGAATAGTGTGGTTGTTTTTCTTACGTAAGAAAGTGTGATGAGGCGTGTTTAAATTCAAATTCATTCCAAATAAGTATAAATGCATAGAAGCTTAATAGAGCAGAGAACCATCAGAAACACCTTATATTGCTGGAAATAATAAACTACTCCCTAAAAGTATAGCATTCAGCAGATAAACCTACACATAGATGTATTTTATCTCAATATCTATGTCTACTCCTACAAAACACATTCAGTTTGAATCAACAATCCTAAGCAAATTCTTAGTCTTTTTAACTTTAATGTATGCAATATGTATACGGAGATGTGGTATGATTGCCAGTTTGTTTTAAATGGATATTTAGAAATGTTTCTTTCAATTGAATACTTCGATATGGTTTTTTTTTCCCTTCATTTTATATTTTGTTTATTAATTAGGAAACATGTTTCATTCCATTTGGAATTGGCAAAAATTGCGTGCATGAAGATATTTAAAAAAAATGTCATTTGAAACCAAAATGACAAACATTTATCATCTTTATTAATCTTTCTTGAAGAGATTAAGGTAAACAATACAACAATAGCATGTCAATATTCAATTTTTCCTGTCATCATAATTGAAAATATGTATTTCAAAATCTTCAAATGAAAGTCATGTATTAATTATTAGATCAATGTCAATTTGATCAGATACGATTCTACATAACATGATGTTACTAATTAACAACCATCTCGAGGCTAAATTAACTGTACTAATTATCTACAACTTTATTGACTACTATCAGATAATTTTAAGATGGTAGATTTCGATCAATTTCAATATTTTTACCAGACCGGAAGGTATTTTACCCAAAGTTTGAATTGTAAAATCAATACGATAACTGTATCACTCATAATTATGAAATTAACATCAATTGAGATATTTTACCTGGCTTGTGGCCACAATGTCCTCTGATTTTGATTTTTCCTGCATTTCTTGCATATTAAAAAATCTGTCAACTTCGGTTTGCAAGACGCTCATGTAGTCATTCGATCCATCGCTTCCCTGTAAGTCCTCCTTTTTGTCCCTGAAAAAAGTATACGGTAATGTCACAGTTTTCTATACGGAAGTTTTAGCATACCATTTGAAGATAGCTTTTAACATGCAATTTTACATGCTTTACAATTAACATGCATTATACAACAATGTCGATTTCAACCTGAATAATCCGCTACACGAAAACTACAATACAAATGATCAATATTTATTTTTCATTTGACTAAAATCTCGACATAGGCTATACTTTCATCATAAAAACTCCAGGCCAACAAGACACTTATGTTGAAATATTTAATATGACAACGATCTTAACTTCACAGTTTATGAGGTCACACTTGACTGGTACCAGAACTATACACGGGAAATTTATTCATATAAGGTTTACTATAATTAACATAATATTCACCATTCAAATTTCTAATTCCTCAATTATCGTACTTTAAATCGGAAAGAATAATATTGTATTTCGATTTTATTTGTGGTTAAAAAGTAAAATGACCAATTAATGTACGACTCGAAAAGCTGAGTTACATATCGTATGAAGGCAATTTATTTCGACGGAAGAAACGGTTTGTAAGTTTACCTAAGTGATGCACCATTACACGTGTTCACTAAAGTATAGCATTTTTTTAATTGAATGTAAATATAACTATTGATTTTCAATGCAATATTAAAAGCATCGATCACGCATGCCCTCACATGTCAATGTGTTGTGTGTTCGGTATATAAGACGTTAAAATGGCAATAAAGTTCTACATCATACAGTTCTACATTGGTCGCATGATACGGCTGCGGCATGCCAAGATTGATTGATTGTTGGTTGCTTAACGTTCAGTGGCAAATATATCATGCCTGTTCAGGACGCCAAGAAAGAGAGTATTAGAGAATGTATGGACACAAATGTGTAAGCTGCCAAAAAAGGACGTGTAAGCTCGTGGCTTATAACGATATATTATAACCGACAAAATTGCATGACATTGGTTTACTTAAGCAACACATCAAAAGATGACTTCTCATCCAAGCAAGTGAAAAGACATATTAAACAAATGATTTATCAGACTCATGAGATCGAACAATAAGATGGACATAAAAAATGGTTTACAAACAAGAAAAACAAAATACGTCTGGTCGTCTTCCTATTGGATTATACATATCCAAACAATGTGTCCACTCGTAGGATATTATTACACACTTACACCTTATTTAAGGTAACATGATGTATAGAATTCAGAAATATATATGGTACTGTTTCTGGCGAAATTATCTTTTTATTTATATTTTCATTAATTTCTTTTTTTTATTTGTTTCAAAAGAGTCCAGGGGTAACATGAACACTGGAAGTATGTAAGCGGCATAACTTCTTTGAAACAATGATGCAAAGAATCCTTGAAATTGTTTTTATAATGTCTAGTTTTTAAGGTTTAAAAGTTGCTTTTTAAATCGCCTTGTTGCCACAAAATGTTTATTAAAAAGTCTCAGTATAAAAGCTAACTTATTAAATTAAGAGGTTGTTTATGGGTATATTATCTACCATATTAAAAAGGGCACAATACATTTGGGCAAAATCATAAGCGTGACCATGGTATCATTTGGGCTAACACTTTTGGAGTCAAATTTTCATTTGGGCTAATTATTTATTAACCTGTACATGTAAATTACAACTTACATAAAATATGGTCATTGGGAAACCATGCTAGTTTGAAAAGAAACAAATCTTGAAGTTTTACACCATTTAGTTGAAACGAGTTTACAGAGAAGATTAGCCATTATCACAGTATCACAAGACTTCTGTTTTTAAAGGCTGTTAGATTTAAATTAAGGATCAGAATCAATCTTTGAGAAAAATCTAAAGAATGTACCTTTTTAAATTTTAGTCTAGCTGTTTTATACCTTCACGTTGTACATAGTTTAATCAATATAGTTGTGATATAAAGACTTGTCTTGCTCAAAATCCTACTTTCACAACCCTGTGGTGAGCAGGGAGCAGACACTGTATAGCAAATGGAATGGATATATAAAACGATAAATTTTATAAATAGAATGTCATTTATTACATATAAAATATTAATATATAATCAAAATATAAATATTTTACATGTAATTTACTTGTGAGGATTAGCCCAAACGTCGACTTTAAAATTAAGTCCAAATGTCGAATTGCCATTGGCCTAAGCGTAATTTTTTTAGCCCAATGTTACACCAATTAGCCCAAACGTGCATCTCCCATTAAAAAAGACGAGCTACGATGGGAGCAACATAATACGACCGCAACATGCGGGCGCATAAAACGATGAAAAAGTGTGCATTAAAAGCGTGGACAGCATTGTGCACGATGCAGTGGTTCTATACACCGTGTTATGGCACTACTTTCTGTCCATTTTTAAAAACCCTTGTAGCTTTGGAACTGTGAGATTAAAGGCGAATTTGCTCAATAATTTTGACAGCTCTAATAGAAAATAAAATCGCATCCTTATTTGGAGAAAAAAATCTAAGTACCATGTTAGAGTGCAGTTTTTGACCCCTTTGTACATTGTATTTGCGAAGTCAGCGCTGCTATGAATAACATCGAACAATGCAGCGAATATTTTTATAAAGAACTCAAAGAAAGAAAACCAAAACAAAATTGATCAGAGACTCTTATTGCCGGATTACACATAATGTTTCTTACGCCAAGGAGAATGGTCTTTACTGAACATTTTTATATATTTAAAAATGGGAGGGGGTATCTATAAATACTACATAATGGGAGTTTCACAGATGTAAAAGGTGATCAATCTTTCTGTGCAGTATAAAGGACCTTGATTGAACATTGCATGGGAGTTGACTTTAATTTACATTAACACGACTTCCTAATTACTACTTTAGGTTGTAACATTCTATAGTACAGTCGTATTTCTGAACATATAGTCTACCTTTTAATGCCCGGATACAGTCAAAAAAACTGCACGCGTGACAAAAATGGAAAAATTAATAGCAGGCGCACAAATTTCGGATCTAGGATGAGTTCATTGCACAAAGTGTTCATAGAATTATCAAAATCATTAAAGCCTTTTGTTATATTAAATGAAATTAATGTGGCTGATTAGAAAAATATTAGAGGTTACATGGAACCTTCCTTGCACTTGTCATTTACAATATCGAAAATGTTTCAAAAAGGTAATGCTTTCAAAAAATAAATATTCTAGTGATTACTGCAATCTTGGTGCCAAAAATGTAGGTTCTCGATTGAAAATAATCACAATTTAAAAAAATAGATGTTTGATTGATATTTTCTTTGTGCTTCATAACTTTGTCGACTATATTTTGTAAAAACTATCATTTAAATTAGATGAAATTCAATTCTCATTTGACAGGGTCACTCAACTTTAAACATCTTTAAAATATATATAGGATATCAAATTTTACCGTGATAAACTGTTTATTTATTCAAGAATATGTATCATATATTAACCTCCTGTTAAATGTGTCCGAGTTTGGAAGAAGTGAGTAATCCAAGTCTAGTTCACCACCCCAAAATACGAAAAACTGAAAAAAAATTACCTAATTTTACAACTGTTACTATCTTTTGGTGATAAAGCTTCTATGCAACTGGTATGCAATTCCACACAGAAGAAGTGACTTTAATTTGTTATTAATTTGGCTTTCCAACGGATATGATTCGAATCTGAAGTCTTTAGCGTACAAAATTATAAGCCTGGTAACTTCGATGACCCCTTTTAATCAAAATGTTTGTCCATAGACGATGTCCGGTTTACAACCAAAATAAGGAAAACGGAAAATTAGTTTTATAAAAAAAAAAATGTCACGCCTTCTAGACTTCCGGCGTAGGCGAATAAAAAAAGTAGTGTGTCGGTCATAATTTTAAGTTTTATATCCTGGCAAAAAGCAACAACATGATATTGAAAATGAATCTTTCATACTTTTTTCAGTAGTTTGCCTTATTTTTAATCAATGTAAGCATCAAATTCGCAAATTAGACTAACCTTACTAATGGCATCTTCAGCAGACATAAAAGGTGCACTAATGCATTTTAAAAGAAGATAGATATATGATTCAAATTAATATATAGTTCATGTTCAAATGGTTTAGATCGCGTATTCTTTTGCTTCGTCATTACATCTTGTGTAAGATGATTTATATTGTAAATTAAATGTTACGCAATAATTTTGAAACAAATTTGCATAATTTTAATTTGAAACATGTCTGTTTATTATATAGTATTATAGGTGTAAGAATGTCGAAGCCTTATAGAAATATATATAGACTGCTTTCACATTTGGCAAGAGAAAATGTTAAAATATATTATGTTCTCAGCATTCAAATACTCTTTTTCTATAGATATTCAAGGTGTCAAGCCTGTATTGATATTCAAGACCAGGTTAATATAATAGAAATATTAGCATATACACCGTAAATATCCTTCACAAGTGCATATATATACACCGTAAATATCCTTCACAAGTGCATATATATATACACCGTAAATATCCTTCACAAGCGCATATATATACACCGTAAATATCCTTCACAAGTGCATATATATACACCGTAGATATCCTTCACAAGTGCATATATATACACCGTAAATATCCTTCACAAGTGCATATATATACACCGTAGATATCCTTCACAAGTGTATATATATACACCGTAAATATCCTTCACAAGTGCATATATATATACACCGTAGATATCCTTCACAAGTGCATATATATACACCGTAAATATCCTTCACAAGTGTATATATATACACCGTAAATATCCTTCACAAGTGTATATATATATACACCGTAAATATCCTTCACAAGTGCATATATCTACACCGTAAATATCCTTCACAAGTGCATATATATATACACCGTAAATATCCTTCACAAGTGCATATATATACACCGTAAATATCCTTCACAAGTGCATATATATATACACCGTAAATATCCTTCACAAGTGCATATATATACACCGTAAATATCCTTCACAAGTGCATATCTATACACCGTAAATATCCTTCACAAGTGCACATATATAAAACGTAGATATCCTTCACAAGTGCATATATATACACCGTAAATATCCTTCACAAGTGCATATATATACACCGTAGATATCCTTCACAAGTGTATATATATACACCGTAAATATCCTTCACAAGTGCATATATATACACCGTAGATATCCTTCACAAGTGCATATATATACACCGTAAATATCCTTCACAAGTGTATATATGTACACCGTAAATATCCTTCACAAGTGTATATATATACACCGTTAGTATTGTTCAAAGACTCGGAGAAGATACAAAGGGACATTCAAACACATCAGTCGAAAACATACTGACAAGTACATGGCAAAAACGAAAAACGCCCACAAGACAAACAACAATATACAAAACACAGCATAGAAAACTAAAGACTGAGCAACACGAACCCTACCAAAAGTTGGGGTGATCTCAGGTGCTCCGGAAGGATAGAATGATCCTGCTCCACATGTGACACCAGTCGTGTTGCTCATTTAAGTTCAAATCCGTTGATAAGTCTATTTCGGTAGGTCACATTCGAGGAAAAGAGGCCGGGATTGTGGTTACGATAATGGAAACATATCCATCCCTATATCAACTAATATTTATTTTATTTGCTATATGTAATATAGTGATACCTGAATATATAGGAAACATTACAGGAATATAAGATCACTTAAAACCTTGGGTCACAGTGTTTGGCTTATAAATATATAAGTCGTTTATACTAATTGAATGGTGCTTTGTTTTCCAATATCCTTGTACTACTAACATTCAACGTTATTTGATTGTTGTACACTTCTGACCAAACGGTTGTACTTCATGATCTATTTAGTATTTATACATACACATAAAGCCATGATCATATAATCTGAAGCTATTACCAAGAAAACCAATGAATCACAAAAAAAGAGGTTAAGGTCAGTTGACCCCCTATAAGACTAATATGTACACCTTGCATTGATTGTATATACCCAATATAGTTTGCAAATTCTCAAAGTTACCGAAGAACTGACCTAGGCAAGAATATTTAACACCGACATTTGAACAATGAAAATGAGGTCAAGGTCAGAAGGCGTATACAATACCACACAGTGATTTTATGCCCAAATTAATAAACAATGAAAATTTGGTCAAGGTCACAGGACCCCTGTCAGAAGGACATGCTAACCTTAAATGCATCCACTCCATAGACAAAATGTAATAGATTCATCACCCAAAGTAACTTAGAAATGGACCAAAACGAAGACAACACTAATGACTATAGCTCCACTCCTTTTACTAAACTAAACTCGGAAGGTTAAACCTATGCGTTTGCTGAATGTTTCATTAACCTCCATTTAACCTTCTTAACGTTTCTTGATTTGACTCCATAAGTATAGAGATATTTATCCTAGAGGTGGCAAGAACTAGATTTGGATTGTCGAAAAATTCAAAACATAATACGGTGTTTTCTTTTTACTTGTAACCCCTTTCTTAAGTTAGTGTCGAGTAATCTGACTGTAACACACTGCACTTTTATTCCAATACAAGAAGTTATATGGAAGTCCGCCTCACAATTTAAATTAATCAGTCCTATTTCGGTAGAAACACAATCGTATTTGGTTATTATACAGAAAATAACCTTATGTTCTTACAAAAACACTCTTAGATGTCTTAATTCACAATTTTATGACTTAAGTAATGCCTTGCTACACATATAGCAAAAATGAACACAGATTAATGATCCATAAAAATGAGGTCAAGGTAAGACGAACCATTTTAGATAATCAACTGCACATATAAATAATGATTATATACATCACATATTGGTGATATATAACTTATAACTGAGAATCTGATAAAATCCAGAAAATTTCGAATTAAAGAATTAAACTTAAAAATGAGGGCAAGGTCAAAGTAAACTGTTGAATAGACACGTACGGCGACCTATAGTTGTTTACTTCTATGTCATTTGGTCTCTGGTGGCGAGTTGTCTCATTGGCAATCATACCACATCTTCTTATTTTCATAAAGTATACAAGAATGAGGTCAAGGTTAAAGTAAACCAAGTCAGATAGACATATACTCCAACATATAGTTGACTCATAACTTACAGTAACCGAGAAACTACTCTTATCACGAAAACTAAACGTTTATCAAAGAACCATAAACATAAGGGCAAGGTCAGATGATTCTGTCATACGGACAATGATTCAATGTAATTTTCTTATTACTTATACTGACAAAGTTGACCTAATTATGATATCTTTGACATATGAAGCAAGAAATGAGATCGATGAAGATAAATTCTTATAACCATTTCTTATATATATATAGTTTGGTCTTAATCCCTTCCTATAATGATTACTAAGCTCACATAATCACAGTAGCTTCACTTTGGTGAATGAACAAAGAAAATGAAGCCAATGTCAGTTGAACCCTGTATTCACGGTATTAATATTGGTAAAAGTTTAACTTTCAGATTTTTTTTCGCACAAATTCTGTTTTATATATTAGAATTATGATATCTGTTATGGACAGATTTAGGTCATGTTGGTCAATCATTTGCTTTATATGCTCAAGAAAAAAGAAAATAAATAGTAAAACTTTTTTTTAAATAAGTATATTTTGTTTAATCTAATCTTTATTGCAAAATTACACCCATAAGGGTCAAGCAATACAAACAATTATACATTTTAAATACAATATAATACAATACAATATAATAGAACATATTTTAAGAGTTCAATTTTAAATTTATGTAAAAAAACACAATCATAAGCTTGTCTGACATGGGTCTGACCCCCTCAGTTCTAAAGACTGCTTAATAAAGACTCCAATATGACAAACAAGTTCAGGGATGGGGTTTAGAATGTGTTTTAGTTTATTAAATGCATCAATATGTTGAAATAATGGTACATAGTCTTTTAGATAAGCAAAAAAATTGGAACGCAATGATATGTTAATGTCACAATACAAATAATACTGTGATGCAAGATTGTAAATAATGCGGTTAACCCACCAAAATTAATAATAAACAAGAATGTGTCCATAGTACACGGATGCCCCACTCGCACTATCATTTTCTATGTTCAGTGGACCGTGAAATTGGGGTCAACACTCTAATTTGGCATTAGAATTAGAAAGATCACATCATAGGGAACATGTGTACTAAGTTTCAAGTTGATTGGACTTCAAATTCATCAGAAACTACCTTGACCAAAAATTTTAACCTGAAGCGGGACAGACGGACGGACGAACGGAAGGACGAACGAACGAACGGACGCACAGACCGAAAAACATAATGCCCCTAGGTGGGGCATAAAAACAACTCAATATTGCATTTGTTAATTCTTGCTTGGTGTCTTCATCGTGGTTCGCGTTCAGAGTTTATCTATCAATCTTTTAATGTGTTATTGATATGGAATACCATGAGACTAGATACGTCTGATAGAAATTCAAAACAAAAGTTTGCACATATGCTTTTCTGATGACAGGAAACACTAATTTTACCTTTAGACTAGTCTTTTATTTGTGCTAATTAGTCCGAATGGTTAGGTAATAAGAGTGAATTCTTCGGTTATCATATATGTATGCTTCTTAGAAATGTCAGGCTCTCAGGTTAAAAATATAAAGGGACATTAATTATGTAACTTTTTTGTTATGTAACTATCCATTTAAACGATTTTCCTTTTATTATTGGAAGGATGTATATCTATAATTAAATTTCAAGGACAAGCGACCGAGTGGCTGGGCGATTAAAATTTTAAACGAACCAAAACAGAAATGTGAATGAGGAATTCAAGGAAAAAAGTAATTTTAAATTAGTAAAAAGAGTTTTTCCCATACAACTATAGACCCTTCCCCTTTTTGTTGAAAACAAAAGAACAGAGGGACAGCTCGTGTTAACTACAATTTTGTAAGTGTAATGATAAAAGCAAGAACTCATAATATAAAAAATAAACATACATTACTAGTACTCTGATTATAATACAAGTGCACATTGACATCAGTTCCGGCACTCAACTTTCTCTGAAATTTCATTAAAATCGATTTAGCAGTACAACTAGCAGTTGCCAGAAAAGAAGAACGGATAACTTAACAGCTCATCAATTATTCCTCAACTTTTTCTATCATGCACAGACAAAGACTAACCCCTTCTCTATTTTCAGTACTAAACATGTACATACCTAATGAGTTCTTGTAATAAATGAAGTTTTTCTCCTATTTTCAGTCCACTCTTATCTAAGGCGGGTAGGTTGATGTATTCATGTAATAAGGCGGCAGCGGATGATTGTGTGTCCTCACCATTAATAGAGTTTGTTGCAGCCAATGGGTGTCCGAAAAATGCCCGAATATCGTCCGGTGGGCCATCCTGTTCAATATGTCCTTTTTTCTCTGGCACGTTGTTGTTTTCTGAAAGACCGGCTTTGAGTTCTTCGCTGAAAAAGAAAAAGAAACACTTCTTTCACATGTGGACTGTATTGTAAAAATACTTGTTCCTCTACACGTAAATCCTCCCCCTTCTTCTTACCAAGGTTTTAGCAGTGAACCAACATCGGTCATTTTGTTAATACATTCCCGTTTATGATTTGTTGTGTTACACAAGGGTGGATCTGAAAAATGACTCAAATTCATGGTTTTAATCTTTACAAATAAATAAGTAGCACTTTCATAAAGGGTAGTTTTAATTATTAAGAGATTTTATTTATGATCTTATTCCTTTAACGTATGTTTATTCCACGTAATTATTGTGGTACGCTCTGTTGCCTCTCTATAGACACTCCACTTGTAAGGCTTAGATGTCTCAAACATTTAAAATAACTATATATTCAAACTGTTTTAATCAGAAAACACGTTGTTGTGAAAAAATTTGAATTTTGACTACCATGAATACGGTTATGAAATTCACATTATAAACAGCGAATCTCAGGTTTCAATTATGAAGTTATGTAAATTTATATTTTATAAAAATACCAAATAAAAACTTAATCATGCATATAGATTATATGATTCACGATATACTTTATTCTTCAAATTTTCCTATACTTTTCATTTATATAAGGCATTTTTAACAAATGTTTTTGAATTGTCAATTTTTACGGGTTCAATTTTGATAGAGTTACTCTATATACATTTATAGACTTAATCCATCATTTGCATATTTTATGTAATTTTTTATGATATAAGTTGTGCAATAACAAATGTAATCATTTTGGTGGGTTTTTTCATTTAAATTTGTCATATGCATAAAATATTTCATGTAAATCTTGAACAATAACTCATCTAACGTAAAAAAAAAGAGTGTATGCTTCGTACAGAACAGGTAAGGAGAGAATCCTTGACACCATCTTCATTAAAATTGATCGTACAAGTGAGATGGTACCAACAACTAAACTAACATTTGAGATTAAATTTACAATTGAACATACACTTACAACTGAGGTTAAAGTTGAAGTTTAGAACACTCTTTCATACAGTTTGTTTTTTCGTAAAACATGAATTCTCCATGCTTCGGATAGTTTCCAAAAATTAAACTACAGTCGACCCTCGTTATCCCAAAGAATTAAAATATCAGGAAATTTATGATAACAGAAGGACATATATACAATTCTATCAATTAGGATAGACATTTTTTACTTCGAAATAACAGGAATTTTAAGATAAATTAGCATTAGATATAAACTAGAGCCAATTGTATTTACATTCAACCAGCAAAACCTAAGCAGACTTTGATAGTGTTATCGACCTAAACATTGTTTTCTATTGGAAATTTCTTCATCATCAACAAAGGAAATTTAGTCTAATTTTTTTTCTACATCTCAACATATTTTATTCATATATTCAACTATTTCTTTAACATAAAATATTTACACCATTTTGTCAGTCCCTTTACATGTATAAGAGTTTGATTTTGGGGCAACATCGACACCTTTATAAATCCTGAATATTTTTTATAAAACGGCTAGGGATTGTAAGACCTGTCTTTGGCCTTAAAATATCTAGATTCTTTCCATTTCTTTTTTATATATTATACTTGGATATTACTAATACATTTACAAAGTTTTAGATTTGTATCACAGGCACGTGTCTCTGAAAAAGATACCTATATAAAATTGAGAATGGAAATGGGGAATGTGTCAAAGAAACAACAACCCGACCAAAGAGCAGAAAACAGCCGAAGGCCACCAATGGGTCTTCAATACAGCTAGAAAATCCCGCACCCGGAGGCATGCTTCAGCTGGCCCCTAAACAAAAATATGTACTAGTTCAGTAATAATGGACGTCATACTAAACTCCGAAATATATAAAAGAAACTAAAATTAAAAATCATACAAGACTAACAAAGGCCAGAGGCTCCTGACTTGGGACAGGCGCAAAAAAAAAAAACCCAACCCTCCCCCTATACCTCTAGCCAATGTAGAAAAAACAAACACACAGCAATATACCTTTATAAAGAGGTATCAGACAAGTGCCTGTGATTTGTATATATAAAATATATAAGGAGGCATGATTGCCGATGAAAAAAACTATCCTGGCTTTAGACAAACGTGCCAGTCAAATCCCCCCTTTTAACTCGGAACAGTGGCGTATTAGTAGAACATTAGAACAAACTATAAAAGCTCAGTTGAAATGGACTTGATTCGTCAGATCGGTCCTGGTTGAATAGTTATTTTAATTTGAGAATTTAACAGACAAAATTGACAATACTCTAAACATTGGCTATCTTACGTAAATGTTGAAATTATTTTAAAGTTTTGTATTGGTCTAAATGTCATCACACTAATTCAAACACTATACTACTGCCACAACTTTATATTTACTTATTCCATTGTTGTTCCTTTGACACACATATCTTATTGAGCGTATACATACAATATAAACTGCTCTAGTAATTTTATTTTACTGCCTCTTGTATGAATAACTGTTAAACAATCTAATTTTTTTTCCAGGTGGGGGCAACATCGACATTGTTTCATATTTTACAACTATACTCTGCTCGAGTAGCCTGACATTTTACTGCAATTTCCGATTATAACATCTTCGAAATTCATCTTAAAAAGTAGTTCTTTGCTCCATGTATGCGATTAGTAATAAATCGTTTGACACTGGCTACCAAAGTAAATTCACAAGTCTTTATATACCAATTATAAAAAGATTTATATTTTGAACTGTTAAATATAAACCATAAGGCGTACCATATTGTTAAAGCGTGACTGTGACCTTCTCAAATAATAAAGAATAAAAATATAGAACTTTAAATTACTAGCTTAGGAGACGAGCCCACACATAAAGACTCATCAAAATGTGTGCATTTGTTTGGATTTGTTGTGGAGCAATCTGAGTTGTCAAATCGTTGAAATATTGCAATAGTGTAACGACTCATCCGTTCGTATTTGTTTGGCTTGTTGTCCATACTACAATGAATCAACGAGGAGGAAATAAATTTCAATATTTATTTCATTTATTTCAGGAATTTTTATTGAATATCACAGTTTATTACCTGGCCTATATTTCATTAAATTGTCAATTGCTTTGACTTTATTCATAATTGATCAGATCGAATTATTTTTCTGTTTTCACTAATATTGATTGACAAGGCAATTAATCCGAGGAAAATAATTCAACAAAAGTATCAATAGTTTTGTTTATGAATTAGCTTGACAATACACGTCTTGTGTAGCCTATAAATTCTTATATTCACCAATAATACATCAACTAAAGGTTGGAGGACAATTGTACTATTCAATAACTTGGGTTATACAGATTAATCAATAAAATTGATACTTTACATACAAAACGAATTCTTGTTCTTTCAATAACACCAAACAGACAAAAGCTTAGTCAATTTTAACTGTTAAACCAAATATGTAATAAAATGTGCATTCATTTAGAAACCGAGATGAGGTAATTGGTTGTCCATCAAAATAAAGTAGATAACATAAAGAATTGTCCTTCAAACCAGAATACATAACATATTTGGTGACCTTTAAAAAAGTATACATAACGTAAAAGCAGTGTTCCTTATCATAAACGCAGACTCCTCCAAACTAAAGTACACAGAATAATATAAATGGTTTCAAACCAGAGAATATCACATAAAACTAGTGTCCTTCAAATCAGAGTTCTTAAAATAAATGTGATGTCCTTCAAACTAGCGTTCTTTATATAATAGAAGTGTCCTTTAAGATTTAGCAGTAGTGTGTAAATCGTTTCAATGAACACAGCGTTTGTTCATTTCGTGTATACACATTTACTGACCGTCTTGTCACAATAAAATATCAAAATTAAATCAAAGTTTTTTATGCTTACGCGCTTCATTTAGACTATAGACCCACAGAGTTATAGCTATTTATACAACCAGTTGCGAAAATCCGTTCTTATGCGCAAACATATGCATCAAATGTGTAAAAAATCTGAATGAATCATTTCAGTAATTACCTGTCAACAATATGTAATCTTTATAACATTGTAATATTCAGTCATAATAGTTAGGAATATGATTGATTGTTGCTTGCTCTACGTTCAGTGACAAATATATCATACAAAGTCAGACGAGGGCAATTTAAACAATATAAATAAGAATAAGGAGATGTGGTGTGGTTGCCAATAAGAAAGCTATCCACTACAGTTCATATGACGTTTAGAATTTTAAAAGCCAAGGTGGCAATGCTATACGCACGTTAATGTCATTAATCCATGGGATTAATAATGATAAACTATTTATATTGTTATTGCATATGTAAGAAAAGATATGACCTGCAGGTTAGACCAGGCAGAGTTCGAGTCGTCATTGAAAAGAACATTTTACAATGCACTAAATAAGTGGCTAGAACGTGTCTTCGTTTTTTACTAAAAAGGCTGTCTAAGTTTTCATAACCTATGTAACTTTACATATTTTTCTTGCGGAAAAAACCTATTGTACTGAAATATCATGAGGGTCTGGATGGGGTCCTTCATTTCTGTATTCTTTAATTTGACCATTTTTCTCTATTCATTATAGTTTGCCCATTATTCTCTATTCTTTATAGTTTAGCAACCAATTATTATCTATTCTTTATTTTTTTGGTCCATTTTCTCTATTCTTTTAATATATCTTTTTTGCCCCTTATTCTCTATTCTGTCACAGTAACCCCCATCCAGACCCTCATATCATTATGGGAGGTTTTCTGTATTTCTTGTTTCAGCATATACTTTCATAGTGTATTAAATAGTGTAATTTCAATCATGTCTCAAATATACTCCTCCTAACTTTAATGATTTTTAATTGATTTTTAAGACCTTATGAAGTATGGATATTATTAAATTTAATAATGATTTAACTGTTGTCTCCATCATCATGACATACATTGTTATTATTTATTTTTTGTAGACAAAATATGAATCAAATTTATACTAAATAGGACATTTCACTAGTTTAAGTAGTGCAAAAAATATCATG